TCACAGCTCATTCTCTGAACTATGCCCCACAACTGTACAAAAGGTGTTGCAAGGCCAACGGCCTGGCGGTTAAACACTTAAAGAAATCAAGTAAAAATAAAAAAATCCTACTACTGATAAGCAATGCTTCTATTTAGCCCTCTCATTTATATGCAGAACAATCCTATCTGCACTGAATCAGAAGCCCCACTGTGTTCCATGGGGTTTTTTCCCATGTAGATGTGCCACTGGTTTTAGCCATGCAGAACAGTCTTGTGAAAAAGTATCACTGTCGTCTTCAAGGGACTTGCTCACAAAGAGCTAAGGATTTACAAAGCTGAGGAAGGGTGAAAGGACAGGCTTATATATACCTGCGGTGGGAAATGAGGTATGTAACATGTAGACACTCCAATAATAAGTATCATGAAAGTAATTTCATTTGTCTTGTAATAAATGTCCTTGTTTACACCGTCCGTCACTTCTGTTTCATGAATTGCACATCTCTTAGGGGTATGTCAGTGAATTTCTGAAGCAGGTGGAGCACACAGTTTGACATATAGTGTAATCCAAATTGGTGTATTGCTGCCACCATAAGCACTGAACCCAATATGTTTTGTTACCACCTTCTGGGTGTTTAATGACACTTGCAAGGAAAAAAAAGGTGTATTTTCCTTTTAATCCACCTTCCAGGGTAATATTTCTAGGAGTAAGAGATTGGATGCATTGAGTGAGGAGGGAGGGTGTATTAAATCTGTAGGAAACCAAAAAAAAAAGGTGTGTGTGGGGGGAAAGAACCCAAGTGTGTACTAAGGCCCACCACTGAATTCTTTGTACCTCCTAAGCCTCTTGTTAAAGATGGAGTAAGAGGTGGGGACATGAAAAATGGCTCCCCTGGTACAGATTTAACTTAAAGACGCTGAGAAATTCAATGAAATCTCAGCCCCTCAGTTCCCCCCCCCCAGGCTTTCCCATAGTCAGACTACAAAAACCACAAGTTCTAAATAAATAATAAATAAGGGTTTCAAACTACAACAAACAAATGCAACATCCTTTCTGACTGGAATGGTTATATTTTATTTAGTTTGTTGTTGTTTTTAAGCCAATGATGATCATTTGCAATTTCTGCAGACATTGCCTCCTCTCCCTTTGGAAGATCAAGAAGAACCAACCAAAAACTATTTTAAGAGCGACAGAGAAAGAGACAGACAAAGCCTTCTCAGATTGGTCCAGCGCTCCTGCACCAGAGAGGACAAGGCTTTTCCATTCCTTGGAATGAACGGAAAACAAGAAAGTGGGAAGACAGTGTGGCTGAGTTGCTGATGGCAAAGAAAATGATGAAAAACAAGGGAGGGGGGGCGGGACGACACAGCATTGCATTTTTTAAAAAATGCAAGAGTGTAGGGATCTCTCAGGCACAGGCAAATCCATCTGCAAAATGCTTTGCCTCTCGGTTTCAAGTTTAAACTGCACATTGCCTGCATCTGTGCTCTTCTGTACCAGGTGATTTCCAGGCCTCTGACATTATACCATGGCCAGGTTTGCCCTAGGAGTTGCAGGAGCCAAATCGCGAGCAGATGGACACACACACGGGCATCTCTCTCTCGCACACACACACACACTCACAAACAGGGAGCAGCGCAGACAAACACACCCCTTCTTGTCAAGCTGGTTTAGGAACGTGCAGGCCACCTGGATATATGCAAAGCCAGACAGGTACTCCAGGAAACTGCGTGTGTGTGTGTGTGTGTAAGCGCGCGCGTGTCCCGGGTTACGTAACATCAGTCTTACGAACACCAAGATCTTTAGGCTTCCTTCCTTCCTTCCTCATCATCTTTCCAAGACGAAGACTAATAACAACAACAGCAATGCCCAGTTCGTACGCCCTCCGCGGAATGCAGCAAGCCAGGAGGTGCAAGAGGGCGCGCGGACGGAGCAGGGAGCGAGGGTTGCTTTGAACTTTAGGGCTCTAACCTAGATTTTACAGGGGTGCAAAAAGGGAAGAATCTGGCCCCGTCCGCAAAATAAAAAGGGCCTTTTTTCCTGGCGTGGCGGCGGGTCCCGCGGCGTGACTTGCGAGCAGGTCGGCTCCAGGCATCTCGGAAAATCCAGGTCAAGCTCCCACGCGCTTTTGCGCCGCGCGCGCCGGGACGTCGCGTCTGCGGCAAACGCAGCTCCCCAGCAAGGCGAGGATCCGAGGCGGCTCCAGCCCGCCCCGCCGCCGCCGCCGCTCCAAACTTCCACCTCTCGCCGTCCAGGGGGCGACGCGATGGTGCCGGCGGACGTGGGGAGTCTGGCTGCGGGGCGAAGCTCCGGCAAAAGGAAGCAGGACGGGTGGGTAGGTGGGTGGGTGGAGAAGCACCCTGGCGACGCTTCCCCTTCGGCTGTCCAGCCTCCCTTGGCACGGAGGGAGGGAGCCCAGCCGGGAGGTCGTCCATCGGTCCGTCCGGAAGGCAGGCGCCTGGGTCGAACTTTCTCCTGGCCGCACAAGTTGCCCACAAGCGCGTCCTGCAAAGCGCGCGCGCTGCCGGCCGCTCACGGTCCCTACCGCTGGAAGACGGTGTTGGGGGGAAGCACCCCAAACCCCGGAGATAAAGAGGAGATGGATGGAGCCTCGGATCGGCCCGGGGTACCAACCACCACCAACCCCCGTCGCTTTTTTAATTTTATTTTCCCACTCACCTTCGTTGGCTGGATATACCCGAGAGCCGGTAACCCCCTCGCAAATCCCAAAGAGAAGCGGCAAGACGGTGAAGAAATATACAATCCCAGCCATGGTTTTTTGGTGCCAGCGCTGCTCCGGTCTCCTCTATCCCAGTGGAATAAATGCTTAAATTGGGAGTGCAGCAGGCTGTAGACATTGCCAAGGGGGCGGGGGAGGGACCGTGACGTACAGCCGTCCATCAAGCCCGCCCGCCTGTCGGAGGCGCTGCTCGGGAAGAAAGCCCCGCCCCGTCCCCCTCGCCGCCCCGCCCCGTCCCAAGCCTCGCCTCCTTCCCGCCCGTCGCCTCCTTGTCCAACGGGGCGAAAGTGTCTGAGCGGCGACGGATCCTCTCTCTTCCAGGCTCGCCTTTCCCCGACCACAGGCATCGCCATCCCCGCCGTCCTGCTGAAGAATCTCTCCAAGCCGGGCACGGAAACGCTGCTCCGTGTTCATTACTTCACACACACAAACGCCCGGCGCGCGTCAGTACAGAGCCCGAGTTTCCCGGGGCTCTTTTCTGGAGAGCAAACAAGCGAGGTTCTGGATCGGATTCCTCTGGAAAGAAGCGATTAGCAAAGCGGCTCCTTTTCTTTTTTTAAATCTTTGATGAAACAACTGCACTGCCCTCTACACAGTTTCCTTTAAAAAGAGACTAAGAATAACAGTAACAGCAAACAACTTGACTATCTGAATGATATTTAGATAGATAATATCTAGGATGCGGTGACCAATACGGCGCGAAATGATTTTGCGCACCGGGTACCTGCCTGCCTGGCGCGCGCCGTTTCCTCGCCATCTAAACCCGGGTTTAGATCGCGATCCCTTTTTTCCGGGCAGAAAAATCTCTGGATGAAAGATCTTCCGGGGGGGGGGGGTAATGGTTGGGTGGAAGGGAAGGAGGAGAGGGGTTTTCTGTCCGGTGTGTGTGCGTGCGCGCGGTATTGTTGCAATAAGCTGCCGGTCACCTTTCCAAACCGAGAGCACTAACTGAGCAGCCAAGTTATTTTTCCACCACCCCAGTCTCTCCATTGACAGGCAGACTGTTTTTAATCGGCTTCTCGGCCAAGCCGGTTTTGTGCAAGTACAGTAAACGAATGAAAAAGGGTCACACACCGACACTGCACAGCCGATCCCGGTGATCCAGAGAAACTGACGGCACGGGAGGCGTCTGAAAACTTTTTTGATAAACAGGAAAGACAATAGGAAGCGAGTCGCAGGAAATATGTGCGTGGCGTGTGGTGCCCATTTCTTGGCAAACCCACAATATCCAGGCAAAGACAGATCTATTTGGAGAGGATTTCTCCGACTTGATCACCACCCGCTCTCGCTTAACTGCAGACGACGGGTGAAGCGGGTGTCACCCGCCCCCCTCCCTCCCTCCCTGGGATCTTGCATACATTTCAAGCGCCCACGGCTTGTGGTCTTTTACATACGCCGGGAGTGATCGCAAGGAAAATCCACGAGGGGAGAAAGGAGCAAGCAAAAGAACCCATGAACTGGTGTGGGTGGGTTTCTTTTCTTTCCCCCCTCCCCTGAGCGGAAAAGGGCTGCGACCCACACAGAGAACAGGTTGGGGGTGGATTCCAGCGCTCCTCGTTCACGCCAGGGAGGAAGAGCTTCCAACACAAACCAACAGCGCCCCCTCGTGGGTTGCCGGTTAGTGAAGAGAAGGCAGACAAAGACGTCAATGTGACAAGGTAGATTTTTTTAAAAAGTGTTTGCATCAAAGTCTTTGCTCCCCCGCCGCCCAACTAGAACCAAAAGGCAGCAACAATATAATATGCCTTCGCAAACAGCTTCTTTTTTAGATCTTCAGCAGCACTGCAAGAGATTTAAGATTTAAGCGAGGAGTTCTGTCAGGGCTGACCGGTCCCATTTCTCCACCTGAAGCTAAAAAGAGAAAGTTGCCGCCTCCCCCTTTCTCTGCCAGCCCCTGCCCCCATCTATTGAAGAGAGGGCCGCATGGCTTACCAGGGTCCCATGGCTGCAGAGGCGGATTTCAGGTTTCAGTGTGGTGATGAGGGGCACCACCCTGGAATGTGAGGAGATGAAGACTCTGTGTTGGCCAGTAGGCAATGGCTTTTTTCCACCTGCCTTGCCACACCCTCCAGCCCTAGGAGCCTTCAGAACCATAGAATTGTAGAGTTGGAAGGGACCCCAAAAGTCATTTAGTCCAACCCCCTGCCATGCAGGAGTCTCAGCTAAAGCATCCATGACAGATGGCCATCTAACCTCTGCTTTAAAACCTCCAACGAAGGAGAGCCCACAACCTCGCGAGGGAGACAGCTCCACAGTCGAACAGCTTTTACTGTCAGAAAGTACTTCCTGGTGTTTAGTCGGAATCTTCTTTCTTGTAACTCGAAGTCACTGGTTCAAGTCCTACCCTCTAGAACAGGAGAAAACAAGTTTGCTTTGCGACAGCTCTTAAGTTATTTGAAGATGGCGATCATATCTCCTCTCAAGTCTCCTTTTTTCCAGGCTAAACATACCCAGCTCCCTCAACCGTTCCTCATAAGACTTGGTTTCCAGACCCTTGCTCATTGCCCTCTTCTGCACACATTCCAGCTTGCCAATATCCTTCTTAAATTCTGGTGCCCATGATTGGATACAGGATTCCAGGTGTGTCCTGACCAGGCAGAATCAAATGCATCAGCAGCACAGGTGAAACCAGCTACCCCTGATGGCAAACTCAGTCTCTCTCTCTCTCTCTCTCTCTCTCTCTCTCTCTCCCCTCCAGTTCCTTCTCTGGAAACAGTTTCAAAGCCCAAGAAACTCTTTTCAGATTTCTGAAGGCTGACATCTTCCCCTCCAAACGCTCTTTATTTAGTTTGTTGCTTAATGTTTAAGAGGTGCAGGCTTAGGATCAGAGGTGGAGGACATTCCCATTTTTCTTTTTTGAAAAAAAAATAAGTCCAATATATTGTATTACCTGGGGACAGATCCATATGGCTCGTGTCAGCTGACAAAGGCTGGGCTGCAAATGAAAAGCACATATGAGATGGTAGGGGCAGGCAGGCAAATGAGCCCTTGACAATGTAATTGCCGTTATTAGATCCAGTGACACTGTTACCATTGTGGTCCAAGGGACACAGCTGCCACTGAGGCACAGGGTTTGCTTCCTCAGTTTGACTCTATTGAATGGTTTTCTTCTGGTGATCAGGACAGGCGATACATTTGCTTGCCTGCTTACTTGCCAGGATCAAATAGCATAAGAGGAGCCCTGCTGGATTGTGCTCAAGGCTCACCTGGTCCAGCACCCTGTTCCCACTGTGGCCAAACAGAAGCCCCAATGATAAGCCTGCAAGCAGGACCACAGCGCACCCTCCCCATTTGTGACTCTAAGCAGCTCAAATAGGGGAAGGAGAGCCTCGCCAGTTATTGTCCCAAGGTGAGTGATAAGCTCCACCATGCCTCTCTCTTCCACAACAGTACAGTGGTACCTTGGTTTACAACCATAATCCGTTCCGGAGGTCCGGTTGTAAAGCAAAACAGGTTGTAACCCAAGGCGCGCTTTCGCCAATGGGGCCTCCCAAAAAATTTTTGTTCGTAATCCCCCCCAAAATGGGTTGTAATCCAAAAATAGGTTGCAAACTGGGACACGCACTTCTGGGTTTGACGTGTTTGTAATCCAAAACGTATGCAAACCAAGACGTATGCAAAACAAGGTACCACTGTATCTCAGAGCGAGTCCCAGCCCTTTAAAATCACACAAGGATCTACAGGGTTGAGTTGCCTTTCCTGATCACTCTTCTGCCAAGACAGAGGGAGAAATGCTCTTTGCTTCTCCGTGACCACAGTGAAGCAATATATAGCCTATGTGAAAATGTTTGTTTTTACCTATGGCACAGAGTGCAAAGGGATACAGACACCAGCAGTGTAAGTGTAACAGTATGAGCCAGGTATAAATAATAAAATCATTATGATTCTTTCTTTCTTCTTCTTCTCTTCTTCTTTGGCGATCACTCATGGCGGAGTAAGATTGTCTTCCATAAACATGGTTTTAACAGTGAGTCCATAAGTGACTATGGAGGCCAATTCTGTTTGTTTGTTTTTAAATGATATTTATTAAAGTTTCGCATAAAAAGAGACACATCAATAAGAAAAAAAATTAAAATTAAAGAGAAAAATACAGTATACAAAATACAGAAAGAAAAAAAAAGAAAAAACAGTTAAAAACACTTCCATCCTTTCATCACTACTTTTGGATTTACTTATTTTCTGGACCTCCTCATACCTCCCTCTTTTGTATTCCAATTCAGTTTGTTTGTCCAGCAATTCCTTTCCCTCCTTTTTAATCCCAATCCTTGATCTTAATATAATATAACATTAAATTTTTACCTATTAATAGCCAATTTTCCATTCTTTTAACCTTTTTAATCCTAATCCTTAATCTTGATCTATATATAACTTTAAAGCCTGTACAGCTAGAAACCACTTAATTTCAATCCATCATCACTCTAACATTCTTTAATTTTGCAATATTTCTGTAGATAATCTTTAAATTTCTTCCAATCTTCTTCCACCGACTCTTCTCCCTGTGGAGGCCAATTCTGGATCCACATGTCCTTCCACAGTGGGGACATTGGTTTCTGTTACCTTTACAGCCCACCTTTTCCTTTTATGCACTCAAGCTGGTATAACAACAACAACAACAACAACAACAACAACAACAACGTTCTCCCCTCCTCATTTTATCCTCACAACAACCCTGTGAGGTAGGTTAGGCTGAGAGACAGTGACTAGGCTTTTCCCACATATATTTTATCTTATTTGTTAGGGGCATCCATATCACAGGCTGAATCACTGGCTCTGCTTATTGGATGTATTGTTAGACACAAGTAAATGAGCTCGTAGGCCCCCTCTGAACTATACATTTAAAGCAGTACTATACCACTTTAAACAGTCATGGCTTCCCCCAAAGAGTCCTGGGAACTGACTTGCTAAGGGAGCAGAACTTGTTCTAGTGGTGGTTTAACCATCAATCCCTCTTTCCCAGGGAACTCTGGGAATTGTAGTTCTGGAAGGGGAACTGCTCCAGGATTCTCTGTGAGAAGCCACAGCTGTGGTATGGTACTGGTTTAACTGGAGGATGAAGATGAGGGCCCAAGTTAAGACTTAAGTGGCATGCCTGCCATCTGCATTTCCATCCCCTTGACAGAAAATCAGGATAGAAAAGTTGTCGAGCTTTTATGGCAAAATCGCAATAAAGGGCATTTTTAAGCCATTTAAATGCAAAAACAGCACTGGCAACATGGGCATTTTAAACAAGTTCCGCACTTGTTTAACACTGCAGTATTTCCATCTTTCATCAAGGAAACGATCCTTGAAGATAAAGAGGTGGCATTCTGAGATGCCCTACTGGAGGACTAAGCTAAGAGACAGTGCTACTTTCTTCTCCTGATTGTGGCGCTGGACTAGCAGGAGAGCCCCTGACTTACTTGCAAAAGTACCTCTTCTCCCTTTGGTGTAATGCCACTGCAAGATGGCCTTAGTGTGCAGGAGACAGGAAGGAGCGCTTCATGCATAAATACAGTGGTACCTCGGGTTAAGTACTTAATTCGTTCCAGAGGTCCATTCTTAACCTGAAACTTTTCTTAACCTGAAGCACCACTTTAGCTAATGGGGCCTCCTGCTGCCACTGTGCTGCCGCTGCACGATTTCTGTTCTCATCCTGAAGCAAAGTTCTTAACCCGAGGTACTATTTCTGGGTTAGTGGAGTCTGTAACCTGAAGCGTATGTAACCCGAGGTACCACTGTATTTGCAAAACTGGGTTAGGGGAGGTTGTGTTATCAGTAAGGACAGCCTTTCTTCTGTGATTAACTTGAGAAAGTAATCATTTCAAGGATCAGATTGAAATCTTCAGGTGTGATTTTGTGCTTCGTTTTTAAAGGCAACACTAGGTTTGATTAAGAGGAAACCTTGCTATGTTTTTCGTAGCTTGACTACTATACTTTCCATGTTCTGAGTAGTGAGCCAGAGCATTGGGACTGTTAGTCCTGGGAACATTCTGTAACTAAATGGTGTTCCAATTAATTTTGATGATTCTGATGATGATTTTCATGCTGGAGAAAATATATGGCTTTTTAGCATTGCCTCTGCACTATTGACCTTGCGATAGATCAAGCCTAGCAACCTAACAAATATATTGACTCAACTTTTTCCTTCTGTTCTGTTCTCTTCATTACTTTAAAATAATTGGATTCCGTAATTTTAAAAGATCACAAGCCTACAACTCAAACCGCAACTCTTCCTATTAAATGGGGGAGGAGTGAAGAATTTTGGAGTGTGTTCCCTCCCTCCACCCACCCACCCACCCACCCACTATTGCTCTTAGCGTCTAAGCCATACTCTCTAGATGTTCTCTGAAAGCATCCTTGATTCAGCTTAATTTTATTCCTTGGCTCCAAGAGGCCTTTTACTACATCCTTTTGGAATGCACATGATTGCACCAAATGGTGGATATTTTCCAAACAGCTCTAAAGCTCCTTGCTGGCTTTCCTCTTCTACTCAAAATTGCTCGGATGAAACAAATGTAAAACAAAGAAGCGAGGTAGCTTCTGAACACGAGGCTTGATCAATGGACATCTTGGGCTTTCGCTTTTCTGCAAGTATGCAAATGAAATCATTATTTTCTCAGCCCTGTGCCCCCCCCCTCCTTACCTCTGCTCATCCACAGTGGAGGGAAGAGCTGCTATATCATAACGTTCCTTATTTTAAAGGGACATCACCCTGAATATTCAGCATATCCTTTCAGCAGCGTCTGCCTTCAAGTGTGTATACCTCAATTAGATGTGCTGTGGGGGATTTTGTTGTTGATGCTGTTACCATTATTATGAAGGCCCTGCAGCCAACAAATAATCTGCAAAGTCTGTAAAATACTCTCTAGAGGAAGAACAGATGCAGCAGCTCCTTTGATTATGGCTGGGCCTGGGGAAAAAAAATTAGGTCTCTATACCTTCCTTGAACATCAGTGTGTAATATCACCCTCAAGGCCTGAGGCTTCCACACTCTTTTTAAAGGCAGAACTCAGAAATCCATAGTGTGCCACAGCTCAGACAACGCAATAAGCTGGATGAAATCTGTCATTCTTACAGGAAAAGGCATCTGTGCATGCCCTTTGTATGCTTACACTAGAGTAGGAAGAGTCTGCCAATTTCAGTTCCTCATTTCTCCAGCGATAAACCCCACATTTCCACCACGTCAGGTTGCAATTTATATCTTGAAGCCCTCCTGAAAACCCACAAATATTTTAGTGCAATTTTCTCCCCATATACACATTTTGTGTGTGACTCTCCCTAACATAATGCATTTTTATGTTGTTTTCAATAATATATGCCTAACACACACATTTTTGTAAGCATGAGTCAGTATGACTGTTGATTTATTATTTGTTGCACTTATTAGTAACTTTTTCAGATAAAAAGTAGCTCGGTGTGACTTACAAAAAAGTAGCTAACTAAAACAGAATGAAAGCTAAAAACACATGCATGTCTTTGAGCTC